GTGGGTGGAATGGGGGTACTAGTATCTCTAGCCCGTCTCCGACAGCGCTTTGGTGTCGCACCGCGTTCAGGTGGCGAGGCGGCCTAGAAGTTGTTGCAGCTACACAAACAGGCCTGCCACCGACAAACACCGGCAACAGTCAGATAGCTACCGCAATAGTCGGAAAAGGGCCTCGGCCAAGACCGTATCCAAACGAGTCGAAAAACTGATGTCTGAAGCATCACCGTCAGTTTATCAACATATGTATTCTGTCCTCTTTTTATTTTGCAGTTGAAATCGAAACTAAAATATGTCTCTCATTAGGAATGTGGGTCAGTGGACATAAAGGCTAGGGTCCAGATCACCAGCGCCATTGTACCGCTTACCAGCTTCCTGGACAGAGTCCTGCAGAACAACCATGCTAGGAGGCAGGTCTACCATCATGGTGATTGGTTTGCAGGCAACCACCTGGATATGATGTTGATGATATGTGACTCATACATGTAGCAGGATAGATAAAAGCAAATAATTTGTTTTTGAAAAGGTTGGAAAGGAAAATGAAAATAAAAGCATCTGGGTTCTGACTATTAGACAAGTAAATTATCATCACTGACAAAAATTGACTTTATAGTAAAACGTTAAACTTTGTTCCAACACACTATTTACAGGGATCAAATTTTCAGCGACCACTGTCGTCTTCATCAGGATAATTAATGACCAATCACTTCAAAACGTGATCTCGCGAGTAAATAGTGTGTTGGAATAAAGTTTAACGTTTTACTATGATTACTACCAACACAGAAGAACTTTCATGATAAAAATTGACTTTGTTTTATTTACTCTATATTACAGAAAAAAAGTCATTTAAGAGCTCCCCTCAACTGCCAAACAGGTAGCAGAAGGCCTTTTCTCTTGATTGGATCACAAGGGCCAATGAGGTACGCAGAAAGAGACATTTTTTAAAGCTTTGTTTGCATACCGAAAAGGCTATTCAAATGCAAAGATCATGTCGATTGAGGAAATATCCAAGCTAGGTGGATCATCAACTGTTCTACTACAAGCATCACAAGATGTTTTTCATATGCTAACTATACATATATATCTTCATTCTGTCATAGTAAATGAATAAATAATCAATTAATACCAATCATTGCCTTTTATGTTACAGACCGCAGTATCACCCACTTCATGGCCCAGTACAGGGAGCTGATCCCTAACGCAACAGTCTCGGTTAAACGCAAAACTGTACTATAGAAGGCGGTGCCTTCCATACTTCGGCGCGGGGAACGTCCTATCGAACGCGCCCGCTCAGACTGACTACAGCGGGGGACCATGGGACAGGCTGGATGCATTGCGAATTTACAATCCCGTTCGAAGTTCGCTTAAGACGGCATTTTAAAGTTTTACGTGCTGTGTGCTGGTTGCCTCTTCAAGATATAGGACAGCAGCCAAGAAAATAACTTAAAGGTAAGTAATCTTCGTAATTTTTAAGTCTATTAGGAACTATAGTTTTATATAAGAAGTACTGGTGGGCATGGTAGAGGCATGTAACCCGTTTAATTTCGAGGTAAACACCGACAAACTTTTCCCGCATAAAATTCTTACAGTCGCACAAGAAGGTTCGGAAATACCCGTTAAAAAATGTATCTCAATTGTCCTTTAAAAAATGCAGTGCTTTTTCAGAAAAGTTGCTTACGTATGGCAGATACTTTGTGCATCTAAAACACCAAAAATCACCCATATAACAGACGTTGTTTAGGGGTTGGTCCAGGCGGTGACACGCCCACCACACGCCTACTGTAGTTTGTGGGCGTGTCTCGGGGAGATTACCATATCGCCATTAATTTCGTGCCGAAAAACTTTGACTTAATGTAGTGTCTTTCATAATAATATAATTAAGCGGCGATTTGTAAGCCATAACAGTGAGGTAAAAAAAAAAACATGTTTCACATCTTGCTATATCTATGGTGCGTACGATTGGCAAATTTCGGGGTACACCGGGTTAGAGAATATTCAAACCATGGCAGTGAAACTGATTTTTTTCACGTACGACCATATAATAATACATGTATGGATAGAACACTGTCTTGTATTAAGATTATGGTAAAGATACAACTAATGATGGACAATGCTTTAATTTGGCTTGTTGTTTACCTATATCATCAGTCTTAATGTGTCAGCTATTAAGTTTCATTAAATGTTTCATTCAAAGATAGTAAGGAGAAATATTTATTTAATGGGTACTTCACTATCACAAGTAAGACTATTGATTCTGACAGTTCAATATCCTCTCCTCTCCCCCTGTTGTGCAATATTACCACAATCATGTCAAACTGTCCAAAAGAGGCCACATGTGGGGGGAACAGGAATCACCCCTACCTATAAGAAGAGGACCAAGCAGGCAGGACCAGTTCGGCGGCCCCTTGTCCTAAGTCCTAAGGTAATACATTATCATAAGACAGAAAATATTTTGCCAATCATATCAATCAATCATTGACTTTATTAAACAGTTGTAGTATGGTCAAACAGCATGTACAATATTGTAACAGTTATGTTTGACTGATGATATAAGGATAGATATCAGGTTAATGACAGTTTTGCTGCTATGATTTATTATATCTGAGTGATACATTCCACTGATGTGATGTGATTTAAATATGGTGAATCAAACTATTCCGAAATCTGATAAACAGTAGTCAGCAAAGGCTAAAGAGGACACTTTTACTATTAGTAAGTGGTTTGTAATAATTCCCTTTGTCGCATAGTGAACACAATTTACAGTGTATACATTTACGACTTAAATAGAAAACATGGTCTTTGGGACACTCCCCTACTGTGCATCAACCTGTCTCACATCACAAATGGACGTACCAGGAAGACAAGGCGCTTATATATATCCAATTCCTAGACCTGTCTCACCTGGATAAAGACATAGAGAAAACTTCATATTGGCCAATGAAAAATGCAAACAGCCCCCTCTGGATTGAGGCGGCAAGATCGATCAGGACCGCTACCAGGAGTAGTGTGCTTCTCTCAGGTCAGTGAAAAGTAATCTATATTAAATTTTCTTATTTGTTTATTAATTGGTCGAAATCACAAGTACATAGTGGTTACAAGGCTCTAAATTGCATACAAGTTTGTATGAAAAAGTACATGTAACAAATATGATTTTAGCCACATAAATGGCTGTCACAGTTGCATACAATTAGACAATAACAACACAAAGCACTGACATTAGCTATACATACTATAAATGATACAATAATGATATAATGGTCCTATCTCGGATGTAAGGGCAGCACAAGGGAGATTTATTGTCCATATTTGTTTAGTAGATGTATAAAATTACTACATGAACACTCGCTTGACCTACTTGGTTCCTGGAAAGATTTCCTTTCTTAGGCATTGTTTCTCTTTTTATTCACAGCAAATAGAGTCAGTAACAGAACAAGACACCTGAGAGAGAAGTTTGATTCCCTTGAATCAGCTGTCAAGAAGTTTGAATTATCAGAGTCAATCAGTCGCCCCCCCCCGTCCAAAAAAAAAACAGTGCTGCATCTGTCAGCAGAGGAACACAATGTACCATCACAAAGGAAAACAAGCAATAGACCCCCAGAATGACATCATGGCAGTTATTCCTATGTGCAAACCCCTGTTCCCTTCATCATTCAATTCAATTCAAACTACAGTTGTAGCTGACATGTTGGTGCTACTTGAAGATGTTTGCCAATTCACCACATGATGATGTGCTACATGTTTCTTGGCTAACATAATATCATTAGTGTTCAGTTATTTCTTTATGGTTGAAATGTAGCGTTGTCTAAATACTTACTTATTAAATACAGCTCCCTGGTACAGGTATCGTCATTTTTTTCTGGTCCCACAAAAGATAAAGCTATTTATTCTGTACAATATGTGCAGTTCTTAAGTTCCGTTCTAGAAAGGTAAAACTCAACAATGTTAAGGAAAATATATTTACTCAACAATCTTCTACTGCAGATTGTTAAGAAAATCCTTAAAATTAGGTACAATATGCTCTACAATATGTGTAGTTTTTATGTTTGGTTCAAGAAAAAAAGATAAAATCTTCATACTACATACTCAACAATGTTCTACCACTGATTGTTTAAAAATCCACGAAATTAGGTACAGTACTTTGTACAATATGTGCAGTTTTATGATTCGTTCAAGAAAGATAAAACAAAATCTTCATGGCACATACTCAACAATGTTCTACTACAGATCGTTAAAAGGAAAATCCTCAAAATTATCTTTAAGAGGTCTGTGGTGTAAGAATATCACATTATGGAATTCTGTTCTGATGTGAAGAACAATAATTAAGGCATTTTGTACACACGGAGAGACTTCTGTGGGTGGTTTGTGGGGTAAAACCGACCTCAGCGGCACAATGTAGACTCATTGCCCGGAGTTGGTATGTGTGTGGGCAACCATACATTGAATAAACATATCAAGGTTCTTAGCATTCTACTCTATAGGATAATGGGCACATTCTATTCTCAAAATTGTGACAGCAATCTGTTATAGGAAATAAATGAAATAAGTGATTTCTTTTCACGAAATCTCGCCATTAATTAAGACTTCCTCGAGGCACAAAGTTACATGTACATGTCACCACTAGGCAATTAAAATATATAGATTTACACAATTTTATTTACTTCAAAAACAATCAGGAGTGTAAAGAGACTACAAATCAATGTTGGTCCCTCATGTACTTAACACCTGTACCTGTTAGGTACAGCAAAATAAAACAGTTACTCAAGCAACTGTATATCCTTTTGGAATGGTCAAACGTTTCAATTATCATCCACTTCCTTTTGTTACTTACACTTTTTTGACGTATCTTATTACCTGTATGTCTAACCTTCACGGATGTATTCAAATTTTAGGTACAGGTCTGGACCTGAACATCTGGAGAACCATTTAGTACACTAAGATTGGTAAATGTCATCTCAAAGACCACAGTTTTGACAATCTATGCCATGTTGGGCTATGCGTTAAATCTAGGGCTTCAAGGAAGCACCATTTGCTCGTGGAAATATAGTTACAGTGTATGTTAATGGGCTGGTCACAACCAACTCTCCACATGGTCCCATAGCGATACCCCGCGGGTATGTAATGATCGCGATGGTGCGGACAAACTGGCCCTGGCTTGTGAACATGTCTACCCGGTTGTTGTTAGAATTCGCCACGATGATGCGACCAGAGGTGTCCAGACAAATACCAGTCGGACGATTCAGTTGCCCCTTCCCCTTTCCATAGGTGCCGAATTCAAATATCTTTACTCCGGAGGAATTGTGCTTCTGGATGGCTTTAGACCCATCCGTCAGCAGGACATTTCCCTCCTTGTCCGATGTGACTCCCGAGATTCCGTTTACCGTACGCACTTCTGAACTCCAAAGGCGAGAGCCGTTTGGATCAAACATCATAACTGTTTTTTTGTCACCCACGATAACGTTATTGTTACGCACGTCCATCGCGATGGCGGGATAGACGCTCTTGAGGCTTACGTCAAATTTTTGGATGGGCTGTCCGTTCTTACTGTACTTTACGACATGTCCTTTATTAAAGCGCGAGCTCCTCCCCAGTACCCACAGGTAGCCAGGCCCTATGTCCGAAGCAACATCATAAGGGTACATTTTCTTACTTTTACCCGGCACGACGGTTCGAAAGAGGCGGAGGTAGGTCCCATTCATGCTGAAGACCTGGACACGTTGGTTGTTCCAATCAGTTACAAACATTTCATTGTCAGCAGACACGGCAACTCCAACGTTATTGATGAATTTTCCAGGTTCTTTTCCCCTCCCACCAAACTTGATCTTCTTCTGCTTTACGTCACAACCTTTTTGCATGAGTGTTAAAAAGTATATTTTTTTTAAACACACACACACACACACACACACACACACACACACACACACACACACACACACACACACACACACACACACACATGGGCCCTGATGCATATAGCTTCTTTTACTCAACATAAGAAATTATCTTGTTCATTGTCCGATCCAATATCCTAGCATTGCCTCATGACACAGAGGGGCCAAGTCTAAGGCATTGTCTCATGGCACAGAGAAAGTCTTTAAACATTATCTAATGACACAGAGGGGCCAAGTTTAAGACATTGTCTAATGACACAGAGGGACAAAGTTTAAGATATTGTCTCTCGAATATTTGTGTTACACTTACCTTTGTGATGTGGGGTGTTGGAGACTGCCGGGAGCTTGGGGATAGATCCAGTAGTAGCAGTAGCAGCAGCAGCAGTAGTAGCAGTAGTAGTAGTAGCAGTAGTAGAAGTAGCAGCAGCAGTAGTAGCAGCAGCAGCAGTAGTAGCAGGAGTAGTAGTAGCAGTAGTAGAAGTAGCAGCAGCAGTAGTAGCAGGAGTAGTAGCAGGAGTAGTAGTAGTAGTAGCAGTGGTAATAGTTGTATTCGCTGTCTGCTGTTGATAGAGGATTATATTGTCAATGCAGGCTTTCGCAATCGGTTTATGGAGATCTTTAAAAAAAATCTGAACCCTGTCTGAATTTGATAGCTGCAGGCCGATGTCAACGTACTATGCACCAAATTGTATTGGAATTATTACAATAAGGAATAATCTATTTCAAAAGTATCGTGGAATTGGTACCTCACCGATACGAAGCAACAATACGAAAGGTTAAGCTTTGTGTCTATAAAGCATCTGTTTGTTGTGTTTGACTTTTTGTCGTCGTCTCAGGGGGGACCTAATGGTACAGTGTTGTGTGCAGTTGGCAAGAATTCTAGGAATTGTACAGGAATTTTTTTCACAGGCTTGGAATGTCTACATTCCTGGGTTCGTTCACTGTACACTCAGGGGAGGGTAGAAGTTATTTACTGAACTGCGCTATACCTGTATTGACATGTTACAAGGTACATGTACAAAATCATGTATACTGCCAGTGATGCGAATTACCCGCATAAGGTATATAGGTAATGTAAAGGAATGGTTACCTCAGGAAATGATGAACAAATCGACAAGGCTATAATAAGACAAAAGCGTACCTGTCTAGCGCTTAATGATAACCAGAGAATGACTCCTACGACGATGCACAACCCAATAAAGACAGCTTCAAATGCAAAGATCACTCGGCGTCGCGTACAGCCTGGAATGCCATCATGTTGGTAGTAATCATAGTGAAATGTTGGAATAAATTGGAACTTTATTCCAACAACAATTACTACACACAGGTGTACCTCTGACCTCTCCACAACTTGTATATTTGCTGTTGTTAGAAGTATAAGTAAATTTAATAAGTAGTTACTACTTAGTAATTTTTATTGTTCTTGTTAAGCAATTGTTATGTATAATGTTGTTGAATCCTTTGTAACTATTAAGTTGATAATTGTATGTATTCTATTATGTGAAAGGACTCCAGGAAGATTAGTATACACAGCTTGTATAACTAATGGAGATTCCCAATAAACAAACAAACAAACTACATAGAGATCAAATTTTCAACTGTCGCCTTCATCGGGAGAATTACTGACTAATCACCTAAAATATTGCCAATAACAGCAGATCTATTGAAAATACATAGAATTATTTTATTTCAGGGCGTTGTGTCGACAAGGGAAATAAATTCAGTAGGCGCGTACTGATACAGAAAAGAGACATTACCAATGACAATAAAAAAATACCACAATTTCTCTCCAGCAAGAGGTTTATAAAGTTGATTAAGTTCTTACCGTGCTCTGCAGGACGCTGGACGTTTGGCACGTACATCAGATTTGGATTGAGTGCATGCAAGACATCATTGGCGTCATTGATGTTGTTTGAAGCCGCCGCTGGTAGATTCTGGGAAGATAGGCTTGCTTGGGTATCTCCGGAAGCTGTGAAATGCCTGGAGGAGGCTTCATCACCTTGCTGATATGCATCACCTAATGCCTGGGTGCAGGGATTGTTTTCACTTTTATTTGACCTGAAGGTGGGTCCAGGGCTGCTTTGCAGGTACATCGGATTGGGGTTAACGTCGTTTCTGGAGTGCGTCGGATAAGTGTTCGCAGCATTATATGTGTACATCGGGTTCGGATCCCTGGCGGGTCCAGGGCTGGCGATTGGCTCCGTGGTGCTTTGTAGGTACATCGGATTGGCATTGGCGTCGTTTTCGGCGTCTATCGGTTGAGGGTTCATGTTTTGTGTGTACATCGGACTCGGATCCCTAGCGGGTCCAGGGCTGGCGATTGGCTCCATGGTGCTTTGTAGGTACATCGGATTGCGATTGGGGTCGTTTTCGGCGTCCATCGGTTGAGGGTTCATGTTTTGTGTGTACATCGGGTTTGGATTCCTGGCGGGTCCAATGGTGGCGTTTGGCTCCATGGTGCTTTGCAGGTACATCGGATTGGGATTAACGTCGTTTTCGGCGTCCATCGGTTGAGGGTTTATATTTTGTGTGTACATCGGATTCGGATCCCTGGCTTGTGTGTGCAGGTTACTGTCATTTGCCTTGAAAGTTGAAGTTTCTGTTTCAGCATTGCTTGAGCCACGTCTTGCCAAGTGAATGTCGTCATCATTGTCGTTGTCGGGAGCCATTTTAGTTGCCTTCAGTTTGTTTTTCGTCTCTACCGCAGCTTTCGTAAAGTGAATAGTCTGTTCTTTGCATATGTATGCAATGGAGTATGCATCAAACTCGCCAGGGCGCCCGATATCGATTGTCTGACTGTTCTCAGCAGGGTTAGACAGATGTTCATCGTCATTGTCTTTATTTTGCTCACATTCACCAGAGATGTGGTGACTGGCACCGTCGGCAGCTTGCGTGAACGTGGATGGCGCAATTCCTGTGTCTGGTTTTGCCATACTTTCGCTGAAGAACTCGTTTCTAACGACCATTGCTTTTGGTGCGGTGTTGGAGGGCAGGTTTTTAGCCATGGCTCCGAGATCTCTTCCTTTGTTTAGTTCTACATATAGTAAGTAAGAAAACGAAAACAAAGTGATCCTGCATTCAAATTATACAACATATGCATGTAACATAAACATGCATAACTAAGAACTTTATAACAATGCTACAGTCTGCGTTGAAACTGAATGTTCTACGTTGAAATGCAGCGATGGTGATAATAATAATAATAATGGTTTTATTGTCCAAACAGTACCCGTGCAGTCGCAGCCTTTGACGGCTGAATTGATGCAGGGTATCACATAATAATCTATACAAATCACAACAAAACAAGTAATACACATGATAACACATATATTTTCTCCACAATTTTTGTGGAACTGTCGCAAGGGTCTGTGCGGCTGCCATTCGGCGCCACAAGGTGACCTCAATACGACTTTCCCCAACCAAAGTTAGGTACCCATTCACACCTGGGTGGAGTGAGTAAATTCGTGTAAAGTGCCTTTCCCAAGGGCACAACGTCGGGGTGCATGTTCAGACATGTCCCGGGTATGACTCGGGTTCGAACCCGGGTCTCCCAGTTCACAGTCGAATGATCTACCACTACGCCACCCGACGCCACACTACGCCACCCAACGGATATGGTAAAGAATTGAAAGGCCACGAGGTAAAAGTAGACGTCAGCAAGAACTCACTTTGGGCTATACTGCAAGTGCCTTAGAGCTTAGCGATGATGAGTCTGGGTTAAGTTGGTCGCTGATGCAAAGAAAAACATGTCGAAGTAACATATATTTTCACAGTTCGTATTAAGACAAATTATCAAATATCTATTTGAATAGCTATAATTATTTAATAGGTATTTTAAAATCAGCCCATTATTCCATTTAGAAAAAAAAAGTTACATGTACTAATTCTCTGCTTACTATCGCAGGAAATCTGTCTATTTAGTAGAAAACAATCACTTAACTACACTCCTTATGTCAGAAACACACATCTTCCACTTCCCCCACAGACATCACGATGGTCAAATCAGGACCCAAAAGTCCCACTCTGCTGCTATGGTGATCGAACTCGAACCCGAACCCGAACCCGCGTTCGATCCGCGGTCACCCCCGGTCAGCCCTGGTTACCAGGGTGACCCAGCACCGCCACGCCCTTTTTTCCCTGTATGCTTTGCGAATTTCAAAATGGCCAACTTCTACCGCAGTCGTTTGAATGCAACCACCCAGACGGACTGCAGTCTTTTCGGCGCAGGAAACATGCGGATCAGACACGGATCTTCAGAGAGAGAGCCCTGCAATGCCCACAACTTCTGGGCACTGGCACAGGCAGCAGTGCAGCACCACGTCGACCCCATCTGGCGGGGAATGCTGGCGGTTACCCACCCCACTCAGTTGCCTGACCTTGGAATGGGGGTGGGCACCGCCAGCATGAGCGCGGACATCGAGGCCGCCGTGGGCTTCAACCTTACCCTGGTCGGGCCACTTGTAGACCACTACGTCCAGCAGCTCGGCCAGGGTATGTCCCGGCGGCTTCGTCCGCGCTTCCACACGGGACCAGCCGTGTTCAGCGTCAACGTACCCCCTACCCTGTGGAGACACCTGGAGGCGCTGCTCACAGGGTATGGGGGTACTGCGACACGGCAGTACTGCGTCAGCAGAGCCGGAGTGCGGAGTGTGACGGTGACCGTCACGGACATCACCACAGCACAGCAGATCTGGTCTCCTGCCCGGAGGGACGGCACTAACTTCCTATGCCGCCGCCACTTTGGACGGGAAAGGCACATCGGGCAGGATGGCCAGGTAATAATTCATTCGAGTTATTACGACACTTTCAGGCCTTAAGTTACTTTTTGTCTGGCCGAGGGTCGGTTTTAGTATAATTTTGCTTGGATTTATATACTAAAAATGTTATAAATCTCATCAGACTTACAATGTATTATTATCAGCTATTTTATGGTTAAAATATGAAGAAAAGGGAGCCTTTCTGCTGCTAACCTTTTCATTCTTCTGAAATATTACTGCTTCTTCATACCCAGTATACAAGTTTTGGTTAAGCATGTATCTTTCTATCAATACAGTTGTATTCATTTGCAATCTACTGTTTTCTTTGTTCACTGAACAGTGTCAATATTTTATAGTGTTTTACTGTATTGTATTCTGCAATGTTCTGGTTTATTGAGCTTAGTTACAATAAATTTCTTTGGTAACTTAAAGGTAATCTGGTATTAGCGTAAGGCCACAGCAAGAAAATTTTATGGATGACATCCGCGCGCGCATTAATTTTCGCCTGATTTTGAAAAAAAAACAAGAAATTTTGTTGCCTTCTAAGGCCACACTGACTTAATTTTATGGATGACATCCGCGCGCGCATTGTATTTCGCTTGTTCTCAAAAAGAGAAAAAAAAAGAATCACGTCCACCGAGGCTCTGGCCTGGCTCTAGGCCTGAGTAGTCCATAGTAGTTAGGGACAATACGGAGCCGGGCACCCAGGCTACCGGAGCTTAACGACTCAAGAACTCAGTATATACGTACAGTGCCGATTCATAATTTCCACAAAAAGCCAGCATGTGCCGGCTTGTCGTATACGTTGCTATGTACTGCCGCGAATTCACAATACCAGCCTTGTATTCCCATGG